AATATAATTGCATCGACTGTTTAGTAACTCAGGGCATCTTTAAAGGAAATTCTTGCATTTATATTTGCATAGATACTGGCTGTTGCACCAAATCTGAGTGAACTGTCTATACTTGAGATTTGACCTGACAGAGGCTTTCCTGTAAGCTGATTATATGAGCATAGGACATGCGTGAAGCCGTTATTATTTCCCAGAAGTACTCCTCTACTAAGAGCCTTTGGGTAACAGTTCACTATCCTACCGACTACATCTCTGTGCTCATCCCTACCCAGGGGTGATTGGAAAGATGCTCCACAGAGCTCTCTTCTATGATTGGCATCTCCTCCCATTGGTCTCTCTGGCCACGTCCAGACGAGCGTGGACACACGGTATGTGGCACTGCTGACCCGTCTACGTGCCACACGCTGCACATACAGGCATTTCCCATACTGCTACCTTGCAGCACGGGGGGTGGGTGGTTGACCCTGAGAGATCAAAAAAACCCACACCAAAAATAGTAGGGTGGTGCATGTGGCAACGGTGCGCACCAACCAAAACCAGTCTGGCCACCTGGAGCCATGCTCCAGCTGCAGGAGCACCATGACTGCAGCTCCATGAGGCCCTCAGGACCCCAAATAAAGCTACTGGAGCCAGCGCAGTTGCTGGTCCCAGCCTCCCCTATGCCATCCGGGGTAATCTGCCACATGCCAGAGGGCGCGAGGCACAGGTGTTCCCTGGGGACAAGTAGCAGCAGTGCACCTTGTACCGCTGCTGCTGGTCCCCAGGGAAGCAAACGTTTGTGCTCATATGGACACAGCCTCCGTGGCCTGAACTCAGGATTTTTGCCATTTGACTTCTGCTGGCACTGATTTAGTATGGAGAGCTCAGCGGGTAGCAGATGAGCAACCTCAGTTAGCTCCACCCTGCAATGAGGTGCTGGTCATCCAACCCATAGCAGGCTTGAAGTGGTAGCTGATTGCTCCCAGCGGCTTGCACCGTTGCAGAACTAACTGGTATATACAACTGCACTTGCCATGAAATGTTGTGGTGGGTTGGCGCATGCTTGCTCGTGAGCATTCGGCCTGTTCTTCCTTTATTCAGGACCATGCTTGGATTTAAAATGGGTTGGCGCATGCTTGCTCATGAGCATTCGGCCTGTTATTCCTTTATTCAGGACCATGCTTGGATTTAAATTCACTTTTTGCCATGCAAGTGCTCAACATTTTTCTCTGCTGGAAGATTTGCTACCGTGGGTAAAAACGATAACATAAATCAGACAGCTGTTGGTTAAGGCTCCCAGACAAGAGAAATACAGGCAGGGTTATAGTTACTGCCAGTGCTTTGCTGGAAATGGAAAATCATTGCTTTTTAATGGATTTGTTTAAGCTATGAAGAAAGGGGAGTTGTGCAGATAGTGAAACAGGCTCTTGGAGGAAATTCAATCTCACGCTCCTCTGTTGGTTTTGGTCTTATATTTACTGTCTCCTTCCCATGCTTCTGTTTTTGCCTTCAGCATTACCTATGACAAGAAGCCTTTAATGTGTGCAACATGGGTGAATTCTGTCAGTTATAACCTGAGAAAAAAATGTATTCAGTGCAATACATTTTTTTGTGCAATATGCTTTTGTCCTCTGTTCTGGACTCGGTAAATGCACTACGGAAGTACTGAACGGAGGACTGGTGGTGCTCGGGGATGAGTAGACTTTTACTCATGAAAATTTAAAGTGGAATTCTGCTCAGCAATGAAACCACAGGCCTGCAGGGACAAATTCATCCCAGGAATAGCACCGTTGGCCTCAGTAGCTTTACCACAGGAAAGTATTTAGCGTGGTGTTTGCACTGTGTTTAGGGGAGAGATTTGGAGGCTGCTTTTATTATATTAATATACTGTAGACAACAAAGGTGCAATGACTAGGTAATACATGACAGTTATACCACTATGGATATTGAAGCATGACATTGAAAAATTAATATTTTTGTTACACCTACAGCTAGCTAATCTTTAACCAAGGATGTTTTAGAATGGATTAAAAACGTGTTAAAATCAGAAACGGCCATGGCCAAAGGAGAGGCTTCCTTCTGTCGCTATTGTTGATCATTCATATTCTTGTAAGGCCAAAGGCCCCTGTTCAGCCAAGTTCTTGCTTAAATCCTGTGGATTTAAATGGAGTATAACCACCCACTTAAGTACTGTGCAGAATAGTGTTGTGATTATTCACATGATTAATATTAGGCTTATGTTGAAGGGTTTTGCTAAATTGGGACCTAGAGTTCAGTGCGACTGATGTCTTCTGATCCTGCAATTGATTTTAAAGGGAATACCCCTAAAGTAAATTGTTGTTCATCTTGCAAGAGGATACGAGCCCATAAACAGAAAATTTGAAAAGATATTGTGTTTTATAATCCATTCCCTTGCCAATCCCAGAGTGTTTCCTGCAATATATTATGTAGTGCTTAATTTAGTCTACTTTTAAACGACTCAAGCTATGATGTGTCTACCACTTTGAGAGTCTACATCATAAATCTTTTTTTTGTTTGGTTGGCTTAGTTCAATAAAATAAATATAGTAGAATGTGAAGAAGATGTTATAAAAATGTTCATTCTTAATGCCCACGGATGGCTGTTTATCACACTATTATTCCTTAGTTTAATGGTACCAGCCAACAAGCAATAAGACACAGATTGACTTTGATTAATGCATACCATTATCTGTTGAAAGCCCAGAGGATTTATTTGTATCTAAATATTTTTTTTCCCAGAATGAGCACTTTTTTTTTTTAATTAGATGTAGTAGTTCTCTGTAATGTCTACTTCAGTTGTTAGTCAAATTATCCTTTTATTGAATAAGCATCCCTCTACAAAGCTGTACCAAGTAATTTCCCAGCACACTGGTGGTAGTCCTTTGTCACCTACAAGAACTATATCAACTGTTGTAACATTGTCTAATTATTATCCAGATTTTTCCTAAACCAACCTCACCACCAATAACAGAGACAATCCAAGATGCAAGCTGAAATATGTTGACAAGAATATATAAGCTCTAAATTAAGTATACACCTCTTAGTAGGATGCATCCTCCTCCAATCTTGAGTTTTGTTTTTATAATTAGCACCATTGGGTATTGGTCAAAGTTCCCAGGTCCTAACTGATGGTGTCATGAGACTGGAACTACTCTTGCTAGGTTTTTTTGGTTTTTTTTTATTTCCAAGAGTTTACAGTATGCTAGTTGGAGGTTGAGAAAAAAACAAATACGAGTTCAATTTTGCCGACTTAATCTTAAACTTATTTTAATTAGGCCCTAACGTTCTGTAATTAACCTTGGTTGCATTTCATGTTCTGGATGTTCTTGCTTGCATAATTAGGAAAGGCTTTATTAATATTTTCATTGAAAGAGAAGAACAGACTAATTTTTCATATTAGTACTGAAGCTTATAATTCCTGAGCTCAGAAGGTTAGGAACACGGTGCTGTTTTTCTAACTTCTGCCATCTACCATTATTTGTAGCTGATTACGTTTCTTAATTTAAGGATTAAGAAGTCGACAAAAAGTTGCCTGAGCTGAATGGCAGGATAATCTCAGGAAGTTTTTAATCCACTGATTTTGTGATGCCTGAATCTTGTTACTGAATCCATTAATACCTAATATTTGATATGTAAAATATGATTAATTTTAAACAAATATAATCTTGGTTTTACCTAGAAAAAATGAGCACAGAGCTCCTTTGGGTAAAAAATATAACTGCACAGAATGAAATTTAGGCTTACTAGAGGATCTTTTCTACAATTTGTATACCGCTTGGTCCCTTACTTAGAGGTTTTCAGTATCTTATGAAGTCTTGCATGGGAACATGTTGCCCATATATAATATACGTAGCTTAATTCTGTTCCATATGGAAGCTGATAGGATTGTTTCTTTTAACTTCAGTAGGAGCAGGATCAAACCCACAAGAAGAAAAGGCAGATTGAGTGCACTTCCTAGAAGCTTGAATCATCCATTGTTAAGAACTCAGATTTGCTGTATATGGGATGAAATCAGTGTTGCTTTAACTGACCAAAAACTAGTCCATTAGTACAATTGTGCACTGTTACTTATGGTGAGGAAATGTCATCACACCATTAGTAAACGCACCTTATTTTTGATGTAGTGGAACAGTGCTTCCAAAGCTCTTTGGCCCAACAGACCTTTGTCAACCCTCAAAATTTATTGTGAACCACCCTGTTCATCAAACTTTAATTGAAAAGGGGGTGGGGAGCAGAGCAACCTGTAGACTGCTTCCCATAACCTCACTGGCCGCCAGTAGGCCCTGAACAAACGTGTACAAAACACTGCCATGGACTATAGTAACCTATTGTAATGATGTTCCCACTAACAAGGGAAGCACATGGCTCTATAGTTTGAGAAGCAATTGGAACTGTAACTATCTAGCTAACCTGTCATCTTTCCCTCAAACCATTAAGCAAGATCATAAAAGGTCCATTTTCTGGTTGTGCTCGGTGTCAGCTTGAGCAAACAGGAAATGAAGTAAGGAGGGCAGCAAAATAAAACAAGTGTATATAGTTCATTTGGCTATGTCTGTCCTACCAAGTATTCTGCAGAAAAGAATAGAGTTACAGCCTTGTTTGTTGAATTTTGTGTAACTTGCATCTTAGTAGAGGGTACCATATGGGGCATTTGGTTACATTTTAACATGGCCACCTGTAGAAAGAGGACTTATATTCCTGCTTTGATTCAGTACTGCAGGGGTGACCAACCTGCGACACTGATGCCACAAGTAGCATGGGGAGCCTCTGTGTGTGGCATACAGTAGGTTGGGGTGGGAGCAGAAAGCAGGGAGCACAGGGCTGGGAGAAGAAAGCAGAGCAGAAGATCGGGCAGGGGAAGGGAATCAGAATGGCACTTGGGGAGGATGTGGTGCTAATTTATGGCACGCCTGCCAAAAAGGTTGACTCCCACTACAGTTCTATTGGCTTCTCTATGTAATTGCAGTTCTCTTGTCTTTCCTTCTCCCCCATTTCATCCAGATGGGATCCCATTTGCTTGGTGGGTTGGCCGTGCCAACATGAAGCATTTTTACTGGGGAGGTTCTCTCCCTGAAGTCCAGCAGTGCGCCTGTGGACTGGAAGAAAGTTGTCTGGATATGAGATATTTTTGCAACTGTGATGCAGATAAAGAAGAATGGTAATTATGTTAATATATGTATAATTGGGTAGATGGGAATAGCGGGAGGAGCAAGAGACATTTGTTGAACTGAAATCTATGTTCCCTGGTACTTTTTGCAGCCTTGTTGGCTTCCGTGCAGTTGAATGGGGTGGAAGTAAGTGCAGAGTTTGGACTTATTTCAAATGCATGTTTTCATTTCAGCATAGAGGAGGTCTGGAAGAAGCAGGCTTCTGCAATAAAAGCAGAACCCAGTGCAAAATGTTGCTTCTTGTTGTATCTGTGTGGCTTCACTGTAATCAGTGGGCCAAACCCTGAAGTTTCACTTGTTCTGGCTCCCACTGACTTCTTTTGGAGAATTGTCCATATTAAAACTTAGCGTTTGGTTCGCTGGGTATAACTGGGCATGTCTACATGTGCATTTATACCGGCTTAAATTTACTGTGCAGTAAATGGGAATAGGCCAGCGTCTACAGGTGCAGGCATTAAAATGCATTAACACTATGTGGACTGACTTGGGACTAAAGTTAGCCCCAAGTCAGCCCACGCACACAGTGTTACTGTGCAATAAAACATCTACATGTGCATTACTGCACAGTAACTAATTGGGAGTAAATTTTATGCCTGAATGAGGCAGATATTAAATTTACGCTCAAGTTAGAACAAGTTGCCATATTTACTGCACAGTACGGGTATGCACGTGTATCTGTGAGCCCATACTGAATAGTAATTTTGCTTACAGTAAATGCGCACATCTAGACGCATCCCCGAGAAGTAAAATCAGGCTTTAGTATTCTTAGAATAGGTAGAAGCATCAAGACTATGCAGACTATACTATAGCACACTGATACCTGAACAAAGCTGGGTAGTAGGAGCAGTTTAGCTGCAATTACATAGAGCTCAGAGCAAAACCTACTAGAGAAGGCAGGTAAATCAACCGGCATTGAATACAATAACCTAGGCATCAAGATCATCCTATAAAAGGTGACTGTTTCCTTAGAAGCTTATCATTGACATTTGTATAAGTGAGAGGCAAAGCTCATTGAAGCTGGTGGAAAAGTTCCCTTTGACTTCAACAAGCTTTGGCCGCAGTGTTGTATGGGGTTTTATACGTATCCATCTAACATTTTTGTAAACCTTTGTTTTCAGTTTATTGAGGGTACATCCACCCTGCAGACTATACTATAGCACACTGATACCTGAACAAAGCTGGGTAGTAGGAGCAGTTTAGCTGCAATTACATAGAGCTCAGAGCAAAACCTACTAGAGAAGGCAGGTAAATCAACCGGCATTGAATACAATAACCTAGGAGGCAATAACAAGACAAAAATCATATAAGCTTGATCAAACATCCTGGGGAAAAAAAATCCCAAATGAAACTAGAACAGAAATGGGAGGACAAAGGAAGTTTATGAATCAGAATTGTTGAGTTCAATAAGTTTCTGCTGGGTTTGTCTTCCCTGCTTCTTTACATTCAGGGTCAGGTTTTAAAAAAAGATTGTGTGCGGAGAACTATGCAAAAATAGTGCAAAAACAGAAGTATGTATTAAGGCCAAGGTGGAGAAAAATGAAATTTTACCAAGTTAAATTGCAAGTTTGAGAGTCCCAAGAATGATTCCTTATATACAGCCTTGGAATAAGTTATATGATCATTCTTTACCATGAAGTTACCATTACTCTTATACATTATTCATCCATTATTTTATTATCCATTCTTTACTGAAGTTACCATTATAACTGAACAAGTGCCTAGCTCATCTTTTTTTTATTATTATTGTTTATCACATTTTCTAAGGGGAAAAATGTGTTATGTGAACCTAATGTTTATGATTTCCACTCATTATCAAGAAGGGGTTTTGAGTTGTCAAGAACACTAGCAAGCTAGAAACAAGGGCATAATAAGAATCCACTTTTATTAAGTGCCTGTCCCTTGAATAGTTGAACCGGCACTTAGCTCAGTCATTCGCAGCTCAGATTGTAAGCGGCTGGTGTTTCTTTCCAAGGCCATCTTGGTGATGTTCTGGGACTGCTCATTATATGGGGCTTTGCACGACAACATGCCATGAGGTTGCACTAGACAGAACAACGAGAAAATAAGATTCAGACTGAGAAATTGTTTTGATCATGGAAAAGAAACTTTTTTTTTTTTCCCCAACCTAATTTCATTGCAGCAGCCAGGGTAAATGTATACATTTCCAAGGTTAAAGCATGCATTGCTTTTTATCTGCTGGAAAATTGGAGCACACGTCCTGCTCTGAACCCTTCTAAATTAATGTTGCCTGTTTAAGAGCTAAAAGGGCCCTGAGTTTTGCAAAGAGTTTCTGAACACTGGAAATTTCCTGTCTCTTAAAGATTGCTTTTGTACTTCCCCTGACCCCTGATACATAATGAGCATTTGAATCTGAAACCCACCAGGGTCTGAACGGTGAATCGAGCTTCTTGCACATTATGTTGGAAAGGGGACACAGCCTGAGATGCATTTCTTTGCCTTAGCGTGAAATTAAATGGGAGCTACAAAGTAGAAAGTTGTTCTTGTTCCCTTCAGTTAAACCAGATTCCTGACTTCAGCTCAGGCTTAGAAACCAGCCAAGACTACTATTGTTTCCTTTCAGAAACCAAGCAGGTTTTTTGTTTTGGGTTTTCTTTTTTTCCTTCTTAGCCTCAGGTCTTCACAGTCAAGTAACCTAATGGTTTATCAGAGCAGAGAAACAGAAAGTGAGAGAAGAGGGACATGAAGGAGAATGAAAGCCAAGTGATTGGCAGAAAAAGAATGCTTGCTTTCAGACATGGTGATTTTAAATAATATCCAGCCAGACATCCAAGATAATTGCAACCTCTGGTCTTCTTCTTGACAGTATGCCAAGTTTGTCTCCCTGCTGCTACCCTAGCCAGGTGAACAACTTTGTAATTATGAGTGTCCTGCATTCAGGAGAGCTATTATTTTTCTAACTTCAGCAAGTCACTCTAGAAAGAGGCTTCAGCTACGTTCCAGGCTTTCCACCCCACCTCTACTGCGGCTATATCATGACAACAGGCAGTCATAGGTTGCTTTCTATCACATTTTCTGAATACAGAACTAACTTCATGGTATGTATGGGAGAATAAGAGAAGCAGATCTCTGCTGGAATGGCAGATTGACAAGCCAGTGTCATCTAGTGATGCTAATGACCCAAACTAGTGACATCAAACCTAGACAATGGATTTATTAAGAGGTTAAAAACATGTGGTCAAACTCAGCCGATTGGATGGATGGACAGATGGATGGATGGATGGAGGGACAGATATTATTATTATTAATGTTAACAATAATAACAATAATAATAATAATGTCTTGATTTCATATTGATGATGGTGATGATGAAGATAAGGATAATTAATCCCTGAAAGAATGTACATCGGAATAGGGTGAATATCCTACCACTTGAAGCCTTTGAAATCCAAACAGGAGATCATTCTTTACAATATATCCTAACTGACCTAGAAGTCACAAACTTGATGCAGAAACTGGCAGGCAAAATTTGTAAATTGAGGTACAGAGAAAAACCGTGTTTGAAATTCAGGGTTATATTCATTTCAGCTTGTTTCTAAATGCCTTCTTGCTATAATGAATCCATCATGTCCCTACCTGAAAATAAATCTGCTGGTTCTCTTTCACTTCAGGATGCCATCCAAAATCATGTCCCATTATATCTCAGAGCCAGTCCAGTTTATTGGAATGCATTCTAGTTATCTCAGCAAAGATATCAATGTAGATGCAGGGATATTTTTTTGTAAGAAGCTGTGATTATCACTGCTGGAGTCTATTTATTACCTCAGTTTCTCTCTAACTAAAATGTCTTTTAAAGCACAACTACAGTCTCCAGGTTAAAACCACTCAAGCAAATGAAGCATTGGGGTCTACATTGCAGAATTTGTTCTCCCACACTGCTTTGAATTAGGAATGCCTTACTGCTCCCATTTTATGGAGGAGAAAAGTAGGCTAAGGTTATATATAGGAAGCCTACAGTAGACTAGCCATAAAACCTAGGACATTGGCCACTGTTTTAGCTCTAAGGCCACGGTTATTTTTCTTTCCACAGTCTTGTTATTTTTGTGCGAGAGCCACCTTCTCTGCTGCCAATGCTATCTTATGCAGCCTTCCTCACAATAGGACCAGGCTCGTGTGACAGTGAGCACTATCAGTGCCTGTTGACAGTACTGAGAACACGAGCAACTTCTGAATCCTCTGCCCCATTGTATCAGATCCTATCCAGTTCCTTGTATTTCCTTTCACATTTCAGCTCTGAATATAAACCATTGCATCCAGGCTTCTCCTATTAAATCTGACCTCCACTTTTTTTCAAATTCCATATTACTGTATTTGGAAAAGCATTTTTGATTATTGCTGGTAAGAAAGAAACTAGTTGAGATGTAGTTCATTGGATTATTAAACATGGTCCCAGCACTGAGCTCAAAACTTTCTCCAGTGGAAACCCATTGTACAGGTTTTTTTCCCCTGTGCTGTTCGTGACATCTGCTGATGATAACCCTCTTTTCCCTAACCACACCATATTTATGAGAAACTGCACTGCTTATCGGTATATCTTAAAATAAAAAATAAAAATATATCTCAGGAAGCTTTCAAGTTGAAAAATCCTTTGTCAGACTGAGGAAGTATGTGCAGTTGGTGCGTCTCCTGGTCCTGGATGGAAAGGATAGTAAAGAAGCCAAAGGCTGGCCTGGCATGCAATGCAGGCAAGAAAGCCTGTCAGTGAAAATGGAAATGGAGGTGTCAGGTGGTGAGGGACAGACTGGGGTGGGCGGAGGTTGTGGGGGTGGGTGTAAAAAGAGATGTAGCAGCGCTTTTACCTGCATTGCATGCCAGGCTAGCCTCTGGCTTCCTTACTATTCCTTCCATCTAGGACCAGGAGACACACCAACTGCAGGTACTTCCTCAGTCTGACAAAGGGTTTTTCAACCCAAAAGCTTCCTAAGAGAGATTTTTCTAACTATTCCTTTTTTTTTTCATAATAAACATATCAACATAAAAACACAAGATAAGCCATCAGCCCACGAGTATCATATATCCAACACAACATCTTTACTTCTTGCTGTCAATTCCTTTATAAAAAGGAAGACTCTGTGACAGTCCTGTCTGGTACCTTCGAGGCTGCTGGTGCTGTTGGTGTTGAGCCAGCTAAGTTATTTTGACCTGCCATCATTTACAGTGGTAGACCGGGATGAGGCTGTAGGGGAGGAGGAGGCCTCATGGGAGCACACTGCTGTGTTGTGCAGAGGTGCCAGCAACAGGAAGGGTGCACCTGAACACACGCGCAGTCCCACCAGCACCCATGTCATGTGTTTTGCCTGCCTGCAGCCAGAGGTGCAGGGCCCCAGAAACCAGACTCCCCTTGCACTGATCCCCTGGACTGCTGGCAGGCTTTGTGGATGAAGCAGGCCCTAGCAGCCCTGCAGTTTTCACTCCCCTGTGCCTTAACACACACACTGTCACCTATGTCATGAGTTTTGCTTGTCAGCAGTTTGAGGTGCATTTTCCCAGAAATCCCTGTCCCTATCTCCTTGAAACTTGGGAGGCGTGTGACCTCATCAAGAGCTACCGTCCCTGCAGTTTTCATCCCATTGTGGCTTAACACACTCACTCACACACACACACACACACGTGTCACAAGTTTTCCTTTCAAGAATTTGGGGTGCAGTTTCCCAGAATCCCCTGTACATATCTCCTTGAAACTTGGCAGGCTTTACGGCTGCAGAAAGAGCTACCATCCCTGCCGTTTTCACCCCACTGGGCTTAACACACACACATGTCATGAGTTTTACTTTCAGGAATTTGAGGTGCAGTTTCCCAGAAACCCCTGCACCTATCATCTTGAAACATGGCAGGCTTCATGCCCTCAGCAAGTTTCATCCAAGTTTCATCCAAATCAGCCAAAAAACAACAAACTTATAGCTATTTCATTGATTCCCCGTTATGCTCTAAGGCCGAATCTCTGAAGCTTTCCGAATCGGCTCCAAATCTTTTCTGAATCGATTGGCCAAATCAAATCAGAAAAGCGATTCAAATCTCTGAATCAACTGAATCCAAATCAAGTAGTTGCCTATTCACACAGGCCTACTTATTGGGCATATTCAAATCCCACCAAAGTTTTCATTAATATACATGTAGAAACCATGCCAATAGGGGACCATGTGAAAAGTAATTATACCTAATGGCACCACTGCTCCACCATCTGTTAGAAAAAAAGTGGTTAGTATTACCTTGAGATTACCATTTTATGATGGTTCAGGCTGTTGAGAGACCACAGAATGAGATTTCTGTGAGTATCCTTTTATTAGTATACAGAAAGAAGAAAAATGATCCCGTAATGTTACCATCAAACTAGCTCTTTGTCATTTATAGGTAAGGCAAAGCTACACTCCACTTTAAAAACTCTGCTGGAATACCAATAGAGCAGGGATGCTGGGACCCCAAGTCCATATGGACTGTAGGACTCGTGAGCTCGATTGAGTCTGGGGAACGGAGGTGGCCACCATGTCCACCGTGGCGCTGGCATTGGGAGGTCCTGGCTGCTACTTCTGTTTTTTTCATTTATTTAGGGTTTTTTTTTAATTCCATCCCACGATGTACAGGGTACCTGACAGACAGGGGGTGAAATCCTGGCTTCATTAAAATTCATTAAAGGTACATATCTATCCTGCTTCCTTCCATTAAAATCAACACTAGCTCACCATGATTTCTGTGGGATCATAGTTTTATTCTGGAGTTTCTGCTCCAGAAAGTTTGCAATATGATGGTCTTCTACAACTTGCCCTGCAGTTAACTGTGTCTGCAGGTGCTAAACATTTCTGAGAATTAGATGTAAAGTTTTAGAAAAGTATAACGAGTACCAAATATTGTACCAAAGATATTTGAAGATATCTATCTATCTATCTATCTATCTATCTATCTATCTATCTATCTATGTAGGGCCAACGACACCGGCCTCCTTTCCTTCAAAGACCATTTGCCTGTAACTCAGATAGTGATCACTGACACGAACCGGTCAGATTCTGAGGCTGTCTGGAGAATCGGTCCACTGCGTTGTCATGGAGACAGTGAGTACTACCTCCTCTTCATTTCTATAGGTGCACTGTGTCCCGTCTCTCTTTCTCTCTCTCTCCATTCTTTAGCAAAGCTTCTTTGCATGAGCTACTGTCTCTCTCTGCCCTGTGCCAATTAACTATGGAGAAGGGTGTTGTTTTTTGCAGGGAAGTTCTGGAATGCTGCATCCTTCAACACGGAGGCCTCCTACCTGCTCTTCCCCCCGTTCCATGCCGAGTTCAGTGCAGACATTTCCTTCTTCTTCAAAACCACGGCTGTAGCTGGCGTCTTCTTGGAAAACCTTGGGATTAAAGACTTCATTCGAGTTGAAATAAACTGTAAGTGTTGACACCGGAAATCCATGATATTCATTGCATGCTGTTGGTTTGGTAGGGAGTGGGACAGTCAGACAAATTCATCCTTACGTCTTAGTTCTCTAGTGCGATGGCACACAGGGGATAGATGGGAAATTAGAAATCTCTTACGACCTTGACTGAAATACTTAATATCATTGATTCTCAGTTCCCCAGGTGCAAAAAGGTGATAATACTTGTTTTCTGAAAGCCTTACCTTTTAAGAGGAGGAGGACACTTCTTCCTTTTAAATCGGTGCCAGTAACACAACATGTTTTCAACTCTTGAATTCAATCTCTTAATGGGTGAGAATTAATTAGATGAGCTCTAATTTTATATCTATATATCTATATCTATATGGATATATCTGTATGGATAGAGATATATCTATATAGATATCTATATGGATAGAGATATCTATCTATGTAGATAGATAGATAGATAGATAGATATTTATACCAATATCTATATAGATATCTCTATCTATAGATATATATGTATATTTATACCTATATCTATATAGCTATACATATAGCTATAGATCTATCTTATAGATATCTATATCTATAGTTATCTATATCTAGATATATCAGTTAGCTAATTGTTGCCCACAAGTGACATAAAATTGCCTGGGACAGTGACAGATCCTGTTGAAGCAGCTGATGTCTTGGGAGGTGAAGACCTACAAAGGCTTTGATGAGAGTCATTAATGGTCCTAGTAGGTCTTGTGAAAATCACAGAGCCGGCGAAGTGGCAAAATTGCAATTACAGCTCAATGCATAAAGAGGGGGGAGGAGAACTAATTGGCAGGTTTAACCTCTCTCTTATTCTGATGATTTAGGCTATTAATATGAGGAAACTCTTTTGGCATTGAAGTGAAATAAGGACCCCTCTGTTCCAAATTCTGTCAGGCTGAGAAAATTCAGAATTGAGTGCTATCCATTTTATAATATGGTTATAATAACCTCAACATAAAATTTAATAAAATAAGGCCCCAAGGCCCTTCAATTCATTAAACCAGTGGTAAATGTCATGGTGCATTATCACAAGGTAATGAGGTATGATTTAGTGTTAATTGCACATCAAAGTCCAATTTGGTTGTACTTCAATGTACTGCATTTCATTCTCAGGGAATGTTAAAAAAAAAAATGGCAGTTTGACATTAAGGAGGGCAACATACCACAAGCTGCGGAGAGGACTATAGCATGTGTTTCAGACAGCGTGGTCCAAAGCGTGTCCTTGCAAAGTAACTAGTTATTTAGTAGCTGGTAAACTTGGAGCGTGTCTTCCCTTTTTCACTTGAGCGTCTCATTATTAGCATCTTGTTGTGCATCTTCCTGCCAGATGGAATTTGCTGCCTAAAGGGCTTATATCAAGGAAGCTCCACAGGCCAGCTGCTTGCAAAGGAAATGGTCTTCTAGCAGATGCAGTAGCTCAGAATAGATTTTTGTCTATCCCCACGGAACATTTCCTATCTTAACTATCTGAGAAACAGCTTCCAAAAGCAGACCTATCCAATTTGTGGGGTTTGAAACAACAGGTTTCTATGAATTTTCAAGCCGTTGTCTTCTGGTTGGCGTGCAGGCTGGAAAGCCGGTTCTTACAATCTCTGGTGTACGCAGCGTTGTAAGGAGAGGGATATATTCAGTAGCAATAATGTCAGATTCTGCACCGATCCTGTCTCCACTGGAGTCATTGGGGCTTCATCCTCCCACCACAGCAGTCAACCCCTTTGCATAACTTTCTTTTCCCATTCTGCTTTTCTCCTTAGGAGCTTTTCGTGTCTCTGACAGGACAGGAGTCAATAACTCTGGTCCGTCACCTCTTCCCTATTGCCAGGATTGGGAATTATTCCTGTGACCCCATGTTTTTGGGAACCACCCCACCGCACACAGCCACTCTCTCTTCTGTGCCTATATTCACAAGCATGTCTTTTATAGATTCAGCTGGAAAGGTCACCTTGGCCCTATTTTAGCTTTCTACCCACACAGGAGAGAAGCTTTAATTGCCAAATCCAGACTTATGTGCAATGCTTGACATTCATGTGGCTAACCCTCCACAGAGGAGCAAACTCATTTTTCTTGGGTACAGTCAATAATGTAGCAAAAAAGCACAGGTATCCTCAACCATTCATACTCACAACGGGGAATAAAGCCTGAGCTGTGAGATCAGATTTACATCTAGGCTGCCACGTGGGAGACAGGAGGTCAATGAAGCCATGTTATTTGCTAGCCTAAAAGTTAAAGTTCATTTAGATAACACTTTGATGCCCAAATGAGATATTTAATGACATCTTTTTTTCTTCTTCACACCGTTTTCTATTCCAGCTCCTAAGGAGATCACCTTCTCTATAGATGTTGGAAATGGTCCTACTGGGATCACTGTGCAGTCTCCCACTGCTCTGAATGACAACCAGTGGCATTATGTCCGAGCGGAAAGGAACCTCAAGCAAACGTCTCTTCAAGTAGACAACCTTCCTAAGAAGATACTTGATGCACCTGCAGGGGGAAATTTCCGTTTGCAGCTCAACAGCCAATTATTTGTAGGTAGGGACCCATCCAGAAATGTTTCAATGTTGGCAATGTTTTTTTTCTGCCATAAAGTAGTCATGTCGTGGTCCCATCCTTGGCTTCCATTAGCACTGGGCATCTCTGGGTGAAGAGGCTGTGTCACATCATGTCAGGCAATCTGTGCTCTAGGAATTAAGGTGTCCTCAGACATATTTGATGCTGGATTTATCTGTTGAAGGATGTCTGGACATGCTTCCTATCCTGCAGCTCTTGCGGGCAGGAGTCTCTGATGATTAGTGTTTGACCGGTGATCTCTTTGAATTGGACACACAAGTGGCTTGGCATGTTTGTTGAGCCCTAATGGGCAAAGCATAATTCTTTGATGTGCATTTCTGGTGCAGATACTTGTAATTGCAAGTAATCTGGAGTATTTACTCCAAATCTGCTCTTTTTTTTTTTTATAGAATAGCCATGTTTTAGGCTTAATATCAGGAAAAACTCCTTCACAGTCAGGGTGTCCAGACTGTGGAATAAATTCCCTCCAAAGGTGGTGCAGTCACCTACCCTGGAGGTTTTCAAGAGGAGACTGGACAGTCACCTCGCTGGGATCACCTAACCGTAGTTGTCTTCCTGCCCATGTACAGAGGGACTGGACACACTGATTTGCAAGGTCCCTTCCAGCCCCTATGAATCTATGCAGTTACGAATATATATGTGATGATATATATTTGATATATGAAAACAATGAAAGCAGCTACTTTCCAAGAGGCGATCAGATTATTTTTTTGGCAATATGTTTTCTGTTTTTCCACCTCTAATACAGGTGAACCCCTAATTTTGGCCACATTGGCTCAGAATACAAGGAAACCCCCTCCTTTTCTATCTGTTTTGCAACAACCAGGTCCTAACCCACACCGAGTTTTCTTGTTGGATGAGATGGCTGCATCTGTGTGTGAACGATGAAGTCTTTCCCTTTGAAAAATTATTTTTATCTGAAAGGCCCTGACATCCCTCAGCCTGGGCAAGAGGATATTCTTGGTCTCCTCAAATGTAGGAACTTTCAATTTTAAGCAGATTTTGAGTGTCCCCGGTAATATTTATATTTCTGCTTGGATGGAAGGTGTTATAGGGAAAAAAAAAACCCAACAACAAACCACACTGTCATCACTCTGCCAGTGTGATTTGGCCTTTATAAGTGTCAGCTCATATTTATGCCAGGCCATGATAGCATTCAACATTGCGGAGAATTCATTTGAGAACACAGGGCCTGTCATGGGGTGGGATGGGTTGGGCTTAGCAATTTCAAGTCAGCTTCCTCCCAGGTGCTCAAAGAAGACACATGCTAAACTCTTTAGGAAGAAAATAGGCTCCTATCAGATGTCTGGGGTCATGGAAGAGAACCCATTGAATGTGCAACTTCCAGGCAGATGGAAATTTGAGGGTATATGCTTGTTGGGAGTAGAGAATCTTCCTCGGAAGGCTTTAAATCTGATTAATACAGTGAACTTATGTTAAACGGTTTTATTTTAAAAAAATAAAACTTCAATCCTAAAGAAAATGGACCAAGGACTTGATACTGATGGGAATGTGGTTTTTGGCTGACCTACAAAAAATCTCACTCAACACCTCTTTGGTCCACCTTGTGAGCTCAAGGTCTGCAGGTTTGTTTCTTGGGCCGTCCTACATAGGGAGATATGCATCACCAGACTAGATCAGGTCTGTGGTCTACCTACCTGAGTATCTTGGGTTGATAATAGCCATCCCCAGGTGCTTCATAGAAAAATACAAGAAACCTTTCAGTAGACCCATATGGGATAATCTGTCTCCTGAGATGGTCTCATCCTAATGCCTGGTAGTTATAGACAGATTTAAGGCTTGGAGCATGTGGAATGAATTTCATCCCATCTGAGAAACAAATTCATAAACAACATTGATTGCAAATGGCAAGAAGCAACAAAACATCATAATTTCTGCCCCCTCTTGTAACCTGCAACAGATTTGTTTCTTCAATTGCAGTGCTCCGCAGGCTGCTGATTAAGGGGCTGCCATGCTTAGTATGTACACGCTTAATTAATAATCCATATCACTGATGTGATTTGCTGTTTAAAAATGTTCCAAATACTTTTAATTGAATCTCCCTATTTTATTCCATTTAAACACAGAACTTCATTGTCATGGTGCAGACAGCCAGTCATCAAGATTTAATATGTTATTCCCCCCTTCCTTCAGAATCAATTCTAGTATTTTGCAATTCTCATAAATAAGATTCAATGTCAAAATTTAATTTAGTTTATTTATCTTCTAGAGGGATTTATGGATCCTTCTGGATAGAAGGGGTTATATTAGATAAGATACTATTATGATGACTATCAAAATGGAGATTCAGTGTAGCTTTCAAAATGAAATTTTTCCTGTACTGTTGCAGGTGTTAACAAAGACAAGGACAAATGACACAGCCTTCTGCCTCAATATGTTCAGGTTCAAATGCAGATCACACAAGTAGAATGAGTTTTGATGTCAAAAATGAGTTTCTAATGACTTTGAGAGGGTGCATTTGAAAAATGTTGGCAATGGAGAGATACTTGCACAAATATGTTTAATTTCAATGGAGGGGTGCTTACACCTGATCACATTAGCATGTGAATAGCTATTAATGTTAGAAGTTGGATGTGCTCTTACACCTGGTGAACCTGATGGATCTGGCATTGTTAGTAATGGCTGTCAGGGTTGTTGACTTCAGATCAAAGTTATCCGTTACCTCACGCTAGTACTCTAACTGTGTTTTCATGGCAATGTGGAGTTGAAGCTGATATCAGAAATGTTAACTAAGTGGCTACAGGGAGTTTAACCCTTTGGTTATGCGTCCTACGTACTGCTGCTCTGTTGGCGCCGTCTTGTTCTGCAGAACGGACCTTTTAAGACCAAACCAAACTAAAACCAAGTCAGAAAATCATTACATATCTAACCTTTGGATGGAGAAAACCTTCACGCTGCAGGCCAATACAAGGCCGTCTTGCAGAGAAAAGTGAACGTTCCCTGTGCATTCTGATACAGCATCGGCTCTGGAGAATAATGATGAAAACCTGCATGTCAACATTGTCAAATGTTTCGCTGATTAAAATCCCCATTAAAAATCCATCCAGGAAGAGCGCAGACCAACTGCAGATGCTTCCTCAGCCTGGCAAAGGGGGTTTGTACCCAAAAGCTTGCAAAGAAGTAGTTTCCAACTATTTGCAATGGTTTAATAAAAGATAACCAGATTGACCCAAAGAACCTTTCCCACCGAAAATCCATTCACACTGAGATCATGGGAAGGGAATAACCATTACCATTTATTTTCCATCCCGACTCTTTTTTGCTTTGCATAGTCTCAAACTCCAACCCGTTCATGAGATCTTTAGGGTAGAACTTAACTATCGGCTGCTTTTTGGTAATGAAACAAGTAAAGCTCACTCTTCAAGGCTGTGGCATAGATATATGACCACTGGATTTCTCTCATGCCACCCCAGTATTTGGGGTGGCAAGGTAAGATGACTGTAGGCCAACGTTGTGTGTTTAGTCTACACCATTGCCTGTCCAACCCTTAAGGCTGCCTCTATGGTTCTGTATAGAAGCAGAAAATAGCCATAATTCAGTAGGAGCCAACAGAAGATGAAAGCTTTATAACTGGGAAGACTTTCTGCCTGGAGGACGTACACAAGCAGATATTTCTGACTACTTGTAGACCCTGTCTATGCCCTCAACTCTTTAAAGGGCATTTGGGAGTGATATCACATATTGTAAGTGTTGTAATGTTGTTGTAATCGTGCCAGCACACAGAACAGGTGGGAAGCAAGATTTATTTGGTAATATCTTACACCCTGCTCTTTACTTAGCCTGTAGCTACTTATCTTTGCTCCACACATTTACTGCCACCTTTTTAAGTGGCTGGTTTCAGTGGTATAATGGATTTAAACTAAACGAATGGTTTTACCTAGCATTTAGCGTAGGCTGTATCCTCTTGTTCCCCAGACCCGATGAAGGGCATTTAGGACCCAAGAACATGTCTACCATCTCTCCCAACTATATAAAAGATATAGCCAAACAATTCTTGCTGCTTGCGTATGACAGGCATGGGTAGAGTTAGGGTTTAGGCAGCAATTCTTTCTTGCCACCTGTCCTCAGTTCAGCTCAGGCCCGTCACCCACTTTTTTGGTCTTTGGTCCTCATGAGCTCATGCAGCTCACCAAAGTGATGTGTGGCAGGAATTCCCTGGGTGCTTCCTTGCGTGTCCTCAGGGTCAATAGTGTATATGCATTTGCTTGTCCTGTGAAATATGAAACATCTTAACGAGAAAGAAGCAAAATTCAACATCCTGCTTGCTACCAGAAACCTTTGAGGCAAGAAGACAGCTCCAACTTTTATCCGAGACTAATTTGCATTAAATGCACTTCCACCCAGGAGAACATATACCACCCTCCAGCTCTCCTGTGCAATATGAAGTTTCATTTCATATTGCAATCTTTGCATTCTCCTTTGCCTGAGGACGGGTGCATGGCCTTGAAAGCTTGCAGATAAAGATTTTTTTTTCTTTTTTTTTACAACTATGTAGTTGGTGTAATAAAAGATATTGTCTGTATGACACTGGCTGCTTTCGCTCTATTGGAAATTCCATTTTCACCTACTTCATTTGGCTTTTTGGTGCCTAATGCTGCCCCATGATCTCAGAAAAGCAGCCCCTTTACTCCGAATGAAAAAGAACAGTGTCCAAATGAATGACTGAGCAAAAGGGCAATGCAGAGCTGCTATCATCTGAGAGATGGACCACAGACAGGGGCTAGATTCAGAGCAAGCTTAAATAAGGTATAATGGCTTGAATTGGAAAATGAATCTGAACTTGCTGCTGTTTTGAGACATTTTTGAGTAGGCTTTTTGCTCCCTGTCATGTTCCTGTTCAGGCTGCTGGCGCTTGTGTGCTCCAGGAGGCTGATGCTAGCAAGACACCTTCTCAAGGTCAGCTGCAACATAGAAGGAATGACTCAAATCCTTGATTGTGG